AGGTCCAGCCGGGGCGTCTCCTCGCTGGTCCGGGGACCGTCTCGGCTCTCCGGGATGAGGTCCAGCCGGGGCGTCTCGTCGCTGGTCCGCGGACGGTGTCCGCTCTCCGGGGTGAGGTCCAGCCGGGGCGTCTCGTCGCTGGTCCGCGGACGGTGTCCGCTCTCCGGGGTGAGGTCCAGCCGGGGCGTCTCGTCGCTGGTCCGGGGACGGTGTCCGCTCTCCGGGGTGAGGTCCAGCCGGGGCGTCTCCTCGCTGGTCCGGGGACGGTCTCCACTCTCCGGGGTGAGGTCCAGCCAGGTAACTGCAGCCGGAGCCTCTCTGAGCGCGGCGGGATCTGCCCTGTGCCCCCATCCTCGTGCTGACGGTGGAAATCCACCAAGGCCCCGTGCAGAGTCCTGCACCTCAGACTGCGAAATGGCAAAAGCCGAATTTAAAATGGATGGTTATATTCACTCCATGAGGCAAAGAAAATTCTGAGGCAGACACTTGGTAAGCAAGCAATTACGTGTAACTTGTTAGAACACTCGGGCGTTTTTTAATTGTCTCACTGATTATTTTCTGTTTAACAGGCTGGCTAAGAGCCAGAGAGAAAGCTGGGAATTGAGAGGCATCAGGCGACCTCAGCCCCAACATTTCTATGTAAATGATGATGTGAGGTGGGCTGGTGGCAGGAGTCCCTGGAAATTCTCACAATCTCAGCTTTTAACTTCTGTAAAGTATTATGTCATTTATGATCTCTTTGACAAATAACTTTTTTTCTCATTATAAAAGTGTATATTATCTTCGGAGGTTATTTGGTAAATATAAAATGAGTTATAAAAGAGAAAAATTATTCATAATTTTGTCACTCAAATTTTGGTAATTATAGTCCTGCTTTTTTTCTTTTGAAGATGTGAAGCAGCTTTATTCTCCACCCTCAGATGGGGCAGCAGGAGTGTCTTAAGCACTGGGTCGTTCTACCCCCATGGGAGCTGCCTGGGGCCTGCCTCTCGGTTCTGGCTGTGGGGTGTTCCCCATCCAAGCTCCCCGGGTCTCCGTAGAGAGTGTCGAGGGACCCTGAATCTCCAGGGCCGCTTCTGCAGGAGCTCGGGTTCGAAGTTCGAGGTTCCAAGTGGCCAGAAGAGCCCGGGTCTCGGAGGGCTGGCGCCCCGCCACATCACTGCTCTCCTCCTGCCTGGCTACATCCAGGGCTGGGTGATGGTGGTGGCCAGTGCTTGTCCTTAGATCAGAGAGGTCTTCCGTTCTGACAGCACCAGGGACTCCTTCACGTTCACCAGTAGCCCCAGTGGGCGGAGGCACCCCAGTGGGTAGAGGCGCCCCTGGGCTCGGAGCCAGAACAAAAGGAGGAGGGTGGTGACCACCAGGCTTGTACTCAGCACGGCAGCAACTACGATAACCCCATAGGCACTTGGTCTTGCAGAGGAGGACGTTGCATTCCCGAGAGAGGTAACACTCTCCAAGGTCACAGGGGGCCCCAAGGTGGTGGCATTCCCTCCCAGGAGAGGCTCCCTGGTTCCACAGCTGAGCTCATCACTGGAGTTCGAACAGTGTGGGTGGCCGTTGCAGAGCCACGTGAGTGGAATGCATTCATCGCTTAGCGTGCAGCGAGCTCTTCTGCTGGGCAGGCTGGGCAGCTGCAATTGCGCAGATTCTTGTCGGTTTCCCCAAAGCCGTCCCTGAGACCACTGCAGGAGCAGGGGCAACCAGGGGGCAGTGGGCATCACCCGTTCTGGTAAACGGCTCAATCACTGGGGCACAGGGTCACTCAGGTCCCAAATGCCCGCCCAACAAGGCACAGGTACTCCCTGCACCCCAGTCCCCTGCAAGCCCCCGCCCTCTAAGAACAGCTGAGCCCAAAGGTCACTTACTCAGTGAACACATATTTGTTCATTATAAATTACTCCTATACCGTTTTCTTAGTTTTACCTGTTCACAAATCTGTTTTAAAAAGTACAATTATGAAATTAAAAGTTATTAAAGGGGAACGTTTTCATTATCTCTGAAATTTAACCCCCAAAATCCAGATTATAAAGCAAGGAAATTTCTTATGGCCCAACACTTGCCATCAATATTTTTTGGATGTTAGCGGGCAGGGGAAGGCAGTGAAACTGAAGGAATCAGAGCTCCCATGGGTGAGCACTGTCGCCCCTGCAAATCCATTTCTTGTCCAGCCTTCCTTCCTCACTGGGGCTGCTCTGTCCTTTTCCGCACATTTGAACTGCTCCCCTGTGGGCCATTCTCAGTTGATTTACTTCCTAGTCTGAATTCCACGTGACCTGCATTTAAGAGGAGAGGGGAACCACTTTGGGACTGTATAAAGTTAATCCTCCACGGTATGCCTGCCCCCTTCCTCTAGAGTGAATGGTCTCTGGTGTCCTTGGGTGTTCAGTTTATTTCCACTCATGTGTTACTGACTGACTGTTCAGGTGGCAAATGGCCCATGATCTTTATCATATTTAAGGGAAAAAAATTAAAAGCTGTGGGGTTTTTTTTAACTTATATTTTAGGTTTGGGGGTACATGGGAGGGTTTGTTATATAGGTAAACACGTGTCACAGGGGTTTGCTGTACATATTATTTCATCATCCAGGTATTAAGCCCAGTACCCAATAGTCATCTTTTCTGCTTCTCTCTCTCTTCCCACCCTCCCGCCTCAAGTAGACCCCAGTGTCTGTTGTTTCCTTCTTTGTGTTCACAAGTTCTTATCATTTAGCTCCCACTTATGAGAATGTGTGGTATTTGGTTTTCTGTTACAGCATTAGTTTGCTAAGGATAATACCCTTCAGCTTCATCCATATTAATGCAAAAGACTTAATCTCATTCTTTTTATGGCTACATAGTATTCCATGGTATGTATATACCACATTTTCTTTATCCAATATGTGATTGATGGGAATTTGGGTTGATTCTATGTCTTTGCTATTGTGATTACTGATGCAATGAACATTTGCCTGTATGTGTCTTCATGGTAGAATGATTTATATTCGTCTGGGTATATACCCAGTAATGGGATTGCTAGGTCAAATGGTAGTTCTGCTTTTAGCTCTTTGAGGAATCACCATACTGCTTTCCACCACAGTTGAACTAACTTACAGTCCACCAACAGTGTGTAAGTGCTCACTTTTCTCTGTAAGCTTTTCAGCATCTGTTATTTTTTGACTTTTTAATTATAGCCATTCTGATTGGTGTGAGATGGTGTCTTCTTGTGGTTTTGATTAGCATTTCTCTAGTGATCAGTGATATAGAGATTTTTTCATATGCTTGTTTGCCACGTTTGTCTTCTTTTAAGAAGTGTCTCTTCATGTCCTTGGAACACTTTTTTAATGGTGTTGTTTTCTCTTGTAAATAAGGAACTTGTTTTTCTCTTGTAAATAAGGAACCTTTTTCAACATGTGCTTGTTTGCCATATATTTGTCTTCTTTTGAGAAGTGTCTCCTCATGTCCTTCGACCATTTTTTAATGGGATTTTCTCTTGTAAATAAGGAACTTGTTTAAGTTCCTTATAGATGCTGGATATTAGACCTTTGTCAGATGCATAGTTTGTAAATATTTTCTCCCATTCTGTAAGTTGCCTATTTATTTTGTTGACAGTTTCTTTTGCTGTACAGAAGCTCTTTAGTATAATTAGATACCACTTGTCAATTTCTGCTTTTGTTGTGATTGCTTTTGGTGTCTTTGTCATGAAATCTTTGCCTGTTCATAGCCAGGATGGTATTGCCTAGATTGTATTCCATAGTTTTTATATTTTTGGGTTTTATACTTAAGTCTTTAATCCATCCTGAGTTGATTTTTGTGTATGGTGTAAGAAAGAGGTCCAGCCTCAATCTTCAGCACATGGCTACCAAGTTATCCCAGCACCATTTATTGAATAGAGAGTCTTTTCCCCATTGCTTTTTTTTTTTGTCAGAAAAGCTGTTGTTTCTAAGGCTTCACTCAACATACCTTTAACTTTTGAACACATCTCTCTCCCAGACAATAGGCTTCAGGAAATGGGACAGGATTCTGGGAAATAAATAGCTGACCCTGAGACAACACAGGTGAACACAGGCAAGCTGCTGCATAATAAGTAACCAAAGTGTGTGTCTTTCATTAAATAGTAAACAATGACAGACTGAGGATGTGAGCATGTTACCATCACAGGTTGGAAGTGTCTAACTATGACTTAAATTGTAGAGCCTCGGATTTTAGAACTGGAAGAGCTGTGGGTTTTAATCCATGCAGGGAGAAGCCCAAGGTTACTCTGGAGAAAGCCATAGTTTGGGGAGGCTGGAGACTGAGGGGTGGGCTCTCATTCCCCAGCTCCTTCAATGAGTCTGATCTATTTTATAAATCAGTAACTGGAAAAAGATTCAAACAACTCAACCCAATTCCCTATTATTTGGTCAAATAATAGGAAACTTGCTGCTGCTGCTGGGCTCCCACTCTTCACCTGCTCTCCTGTTCAGGTTGGGTCGGCCAATGTCCTTCTCTTGCTGGGGAGAGAGTGTAGAGAGGGACCATTTTTTAATTATTTAGGGTGTGGTTCAGTTGTAAACAGTGTAGTTTTAGAATTTGTGTTATTGTGATGGTGATGACTAACTGCAGAATGCTTCCCATTTGCCTTGCAATAACAAGAGCAAGTATTTTACGCAATTCAAGTTTTGGATACTACTTATCTACTTTACTTTCTTAAGAATAATGACATTTGACCAGAGAAGAGTTCTAATTTTGCATCAGAGTCAAAAGTGAAAATGAAAGGAACTGACACATGAAGGAACAGGTGTGAGCTGTTTGCTTCATTCCTGCACGTCCTGGTTGATGTTCAGCTCTGGCCCTGCATCCCACTTTCAAATGTAGTGCATGCCTCACCTAGGAAAGGTCCTCCCCATGCTGGCTCCCTCTGCTCACCCAACTGTACTTGCTTCTCTTAATCCCCTATGAACACTGTTTTCTAGGTTGGGTGTATTTTCTGTAATAAAAAAGTATTGTTGCACACTTATTGAGGACTTATTGGATGCCATGCTAAGCATTTCATAGTCACGAGCTCATTGTACAAAATACCCTTTGTAACACTCCTATGAATTTATACTCCCATATGAATAGGCCTGAGGAAGTGGCGTGCTGGAGAGATTAAATAATTAAATGACAGCATACAGTTAATTACTGAGAGGATTTGGGTTTGAGCCTGAACCTGTGATTTTAAACACTCATGTCTACAACCGCAAGTGTTGCCATATCATTAGCATCGGGATTTAGAATCCCTGCTAGCAGACCTGGGGAAGATGCATTATAACCAGATGAGAGGTAACCACCGCATTTACTGAGTTGTCAGAACCACTGTAATGCCTCTCATAGACTGCAAGGCACTCCTGTGTTTGTCTCAGTGTCTCCAGCTTGAATTGCTTCACCCCTGGCTCTCAGCAGTGCTGCACCTCTCTCCTGCATGGGTCACCTGTTCCTGGAATTCATTTTTCCCGTTTCTTAGGTTGCCACTTCACTGTAGCTTCCTGACAAAAGGTAAAGCTTTGATGCTGTGCATGTCCCAAAATGCCTGTGCTCTATTCTCACACTGGGTTGATGGTTTAGTTGGCTTTAAAATATACATATTTCTCTCAGAATGTGAAGGCCAAATTTCATTTTCTTATTATATCTAGTATAGCAATGAAAAACTTAAGTGCCATTTTGTTTCTTGATTCTTTGTAATTTTTTTTTTTTTTTGACAGAGTCTCACTCTGTCACCCAGGCTGAAGTGCAGTGGCACAATCTCAGCTCACTGCAACCCAACCTCCACCTCTTAGGTTCAAGCAATTCTCCTGCCTCAACCTCCTGAGTAGCTGGGACTATAGGCACATGCCATCACATCCAGCTAATTTTTGAATTTTTAGTAGTGATGGAGTTTCACCATATTGGCCAGGCTGGTATTAAACTCCTGACCTTGTAATCTGCCCACCTTGGCCTTCCAAAGTGCTGGGATTACAGGCATGAGCCACTGTGCCTGGCCGGTGATCTTTTTTTATTTATTATTATAAGTTCTGGGGTACAAGTGCAGAATGTGCAGGTTTGTTACATAGGTATACATGTGCCACAGTGGTTTGCTGCAACCATCAACCCGTGATGTACGTTAGGTATTTCTCCCAGTGCTATCCCTCCCCTAGCCCCTCACCCTCCAACAGGTCCTGGTGTGTGATGTTCCCCTCCTTGTGTCCATATGTTCTCATTGGTCAACTCCCACTAATGAGTGAGAACATGCAGTGTTTGGTTTTCTGTTCTTGTGTTAGCTTGCTGAGAATGATGGTTTCCAACTTCGTCCATGTCCCTGCAAAGGACATGAACTCATTCTTTTTTGTGGCTTTAAGTTCTTTGTAGATTCTGAATATTAGCTCTTTGTCAGATATATAGCTTTCAAAATTTTTCTCCCACTCTGTAGGTGGCCTGGTCACTCTGATGATAGTTTCTTTTGCTGTGCAGAAGCTCCTTAGGTTAATTAAATCCCATTTGTCAATTTTGGCTTTTGTTGCCATTGCTTTTGGTGTTTTAGTTATGAAGTCTTTGCCCATGCCTATGTCATGAATGATATTGCCTAGGTTTTCTTCTAGGGTTTTTATGATTTTAGATCTTATATTTAAGTATTTTATCCATCTTAATTTTTTTATAAGCTGTAAGGAAGGGATCCAGTTTCAGTTTTCTGCATATAGCCAGCCAGTTTTCCCAACACCATTTATTAAATAGGGAGTCATTT